AAACCAAGTTGCTAAAGGTGTAACTCTCAGAGTCAATTGTACATCAAGAGACGACAATCTAGGCGTCCACTATTTGGCTTTTAAATCCACTCCATACGATATTAAATTCCACGAGGCTCGTCTTGGAAAAACAGAATTTATTTGTACCGTGCGCCATGGAGTGTTTTCAAAACTCTTTAGAGCGTACAAAGGATCTTTTATCCCTAGATGTGGTGAGAAACGCATATATATTGCCAAACCTGATGCCATTTACTTGTCCAAAAACCTAGGTCCTGAAAAGTTCAAGTATGCTTGGGATCGATCACCTTGATTGATATTTCGTAAAACCATCTGATATCGATCGATCATGTTTATGAAGCTGACTTTTTATTTCTTTTTTTTTGTTTGCACCAAGCAAGGTATTTGTTTATTTCTTCTTATGAGCTAAGTCATCTTTCAATTTTAGTGATTATTTTGCGAATCACTAGCAACCGCATGTTCTGCCTTTCGAATTCCCGTCTCAAACTCCTTATGAGACGACTATTCACGAATGAGCTCAACAAAGTTCCCCATTTATGTATATATATATATATCTATATAAAAGAGAATTAATAACATATTTGGTTTTGGATTTTTTTTTTTTTTTTAATCAAGGCTTTAGCCATTATAGCTCGTGGCCTCATGGTCGGAACCAGGTAACTAGTCCCTTCCCTAAAAGTGAGATTTCTATGTATGTGAGAAAAAAAAAACATGGCAGATGAAGAGAACCCTACTTGTTAGGGGCATAGAGGACTCTGGATATTCTCCTGATCATTCTCTCTTAACGTCACGTACGTACTCCATGATTTTTGGGAATAATAATATGACATCAACAATAAAATGATGCTAGTATATTAGGAAAATTAATTTACAATTACATTCATTTGTTTTTGGGTAGTTTAAGAGATAAGATTATTTATTCCCTCTATAGCGACATCCTGAAACCTTGCCACCACTACTTATGAGACTGTCTAGTCCTTATGGATAATATTATCGCATTGTTAAATTAATATTTGTCAATGTAAATGTTCTAATGGTTTAGCTAATTTTAACCCCAAATTAAGTAGTAGGCCCCGATATCTTATAAGTTATAAGTCAACATGTAGTTGATTGCTAGACTTTCCAGGACCTTAACAATCAATCCCCTCTAAAATTTGATACTACTTTACAAAATTTAAACGATTATCTAAGATTAACGAGTTGGCTAATACAATAAACTAAAGTGAGAATGTTAAATAAGTTTAAGCAGCTATCTAATATCACAATGGAGCTAAATGAGACTCTTTAGAATCCTACAAAAGAATGAACACCTTAATTTATAAGAAAATATTTTTTTTTTTTATATAAGAAAATATTTAACCAAACAAAAAACACTAAAAGATTGCATATCGTTAAGTCGACCTTGGTTTATTCCTTACTTTGGAAGCCGAATCACGCCATCGTCATTTTGCCATATTAGTAGCAATAAATTCCTTTGCTCATTGAGATATTCAAATATATTCTTCTTTTTTCCCCTAAGTTAGTTACTTATATTAATAATAATCAGTTAAAAAAAAAAGTGTTGTCCAGTTAAGCAGTCACTAGCTTTAGTTTTGGTGATCGGCTAGAGAGATAAGGCTTTCATCATCCTTATTCTAATACGATTTTTTTTTCTTTCTAATACGATATATGTTGATACTTAAAGAAGTCGTATATCAAACGAATAATCAAATTTTTGATATTAAGAAGTGCCTTTTATTATATTTATATATATATATATAATCATTTGCTTCAAAGGGTTTTATTTTTCTACGACTAATATTAGATCACTATTGCACATTTTTACCTTTACGTGCTAATATAATATAATTCGTACTTTCATTCGTTTTTCTATTCGTCGTGTGAGTACATTTCTATGTATGTAAATTCTTACCGCAGTATACGTTGTGAATAAGTATTAAAAAGGTAAATATTTGAAATTTTAGATTCCAAATGATATGCTACTTCATTTTCTCTTCAGTGTTATAACTTGTTTGGTTAACGCCTTAACGGTGGAAGTACAGTATGTATCAGTATTTCCGCTGTATATGATCAGTGTTATAAGAGTGCACTCTTTATCAGAATGAGCGATATACATGTTTTTCTCGTTTTAAAAAACTCAACCAAAATTGTGTTTAAAAATCTATCCGAGAATTGAAGACCAAGTAAAATGGGCCTCCTCTGTGAAACACAATGATTAGGCCCATTTGAATAGAAATAAGCCCACTAATATATCTAACCATCTAAATCTGATCATCAAATAAGTGTTGGCAGCTAGTTTTTTCCAAATGAAAGTCGACTTCACGACTCCTAAGTTTTAACCAACCTGACAAAACCTCTTTAGTCTTTGAATCCGTAATTTGTTTTCGCATATATAACCCATGTTGATGTAGTTATACATTATAATTATATTCCCAAAAGCGTTTACGGGGCACTGGACTATTTGCATCGAACTCAGTTGCTATGCAACACAGACTTGGTGCGAAAGCTATGCATCCGTGTCTCTAACTTTATAAGAGATCGACACACTTTTAGATTTCTGTTCCAATGTTTTCCACGCTCACATACCATATTCCAATAAATCCTTATTTGAACACAAACCTAAACACATCCACACGACTGCTTCTTCTTCTTCTCTTGAATGTAATTTTCATAACTATATATAAAGACTTCGGTCGTTGAATCTTCACTTTATTTGAGAAACGTACGTAAATATGATCTTTAAGCCCATTATCTTCTAATAGTTTAAAAAAAAAAATCATCCTGAAATTTTAAATTTAAATTAAATTTCAACATTATAAATATAATTTTAATTATTCTTGACTACTATTTTTTTTTCGAGGATACAAATATAAAACTCTTTTATATGCTCCTATAACTTTTCTTTGATTGGGCCATTGTCTTCAATTCATATAAGAAAAAATGACCAGTGTTTGATTTCATCATCCAACATTTATAGCTATATATATACTGTTTTTTTTTACTATCTGATAACTGCTTTACTGTTTTTTAATGGCCACGTTACTGTTTGCTACCTATTGTAACAATTGAGACCAAAAATCTCTTTGTAAGAAAAAAATGATCAGTCATCATCATCCAACATTTTTAGCTATATATACTGTTTTTTTTACTATCTGCTTTAACTGCTTTACTGTTTGTTACCTATTTTGTACCATTATGATCGTGTTTAACAAAATCTCGTTCCAAACGTAAATGCATTTTCGATTGGGAGAAAGCTTGGTATCTTATTGGATACTTCATTTACCAGGAAACTCGTATTTAGGTTTAGAGAATAGAGATGGAAGAAAAAATAATTTATTGGACGCAGCAAAACAGCAGTGTGGATGATAATAATTTATTTGTAAACTAAAATTTGTCTGAGTCCCCACCTGAAATAAAAATGGAATGGGTGACTTTGATTATTAGGCCGTTAAGTTTGACGACCGACCGCAATTTTGTTTTTATTTTAAATTTGGGTTGGTCATTGTTATATGGAACTTTGTTATACTACGATCTTCTGTCATCCAATTAAAACGATGCCTAGTTTAACTAATTCACTATGATGCACTGGAATCTCAAAAACAAAAGAAAAAGAACACTATACACAACAGCATTTTATGCGATAAAATCTGATGTAAACATGTGCATGTCGTAAGAGATATGACGATAACAAAAACAACAACAACAAAAAACTACAGAAAAAAAAACTGTTGAGTTTCTAGATTTAATCTCAGATGGTGCAACAGTGTTTCTATTCATTATATAGGTTATTTTTTGACCGAACAAATTACCATTTTTATCCATAAATACATTGAAGAAGAGATATGACAACAACAAGAACAAGACAAGATATGAAGAAAAACAAATGTGAGATGTTTGTGTATTAACAAGCGGCGTATTGATAAATCTCAAGTCAGAATATGAGAGCCGTTCGATGAGTGGAAGGGATATTGAGCGTATCTATATGTTCAGTGACTTGACCGTATACAATTTACATAATGCAGCTGATGAAAGAAACATCTCAACCGTTCATCGCAAAATCTCTTCAAGGGACCACTTTGATCCATTGTCCGTGAACCTCCTGTCATGTAAAGTAACAAAACAAAAGTCAAAGTATAACCTTTTCTCCTTTGCTTAACACATCATTATTTAAATCAAAAGAGAATCTATGATTTTCAAATAACAAAAAATGAATCCGAATTTTTTAAAATAAAAAGTAGTATAAAACTGGGTCAACAAGTCATGGATTAATTCAGTGTGGCCCGCAAAAAAAAAAAAATTAAAAAACCTGAAAATATAATTTTGATGTGGTGGCATGTACTATGTAGATTGTAGCACGTAGGTGGAACGGAACAATCACTCGCCGTAGTCGTGTGGAGTCATGGATGATGTTTGTATTAACATAGAATTATGAGTTTGTGACCACAACGTTATAAATTTGTCTGCAAAAAGATGTTAGAACTTAGAAGTATTTTTAACTTCCGTTTTCATTTTCTTATCACACAGCTTTAAGCTTACAAATGGTGTGACACGTGGCATAGACTCAAGTCGTTGAAACGGACACCACATTTAAAATCATCGGTTTCATATTTGTAGTCAAAGTTAGGTGTGAAGAGGACTCTACGTGGTCTTGTTTTAGTCAACTTCATTAGCATTTTTTTAATCTTATAACTGCATTAAAAAAAAACACTCTAATACAGCGCCGTTTGACTCCATATATCGTATAAACCTAAGTGTAGCAGTGGAAGATTTAAATCCTTACTAAAAAAATTCTACCAACCTGTTACCTGATAGTATTTTTTCAAATTTGAAAAAAATGACTATCGTAACAAAAGTCACAAAATAATTGAATTAGTCATGACGGGAATTTAAATTGTATTGACTTTAGGAAATGTTTTTCTACTGGCGTAAGTAAGAAGAGCCGATATAGTTTTAACATCAGAAAAGCCAGAAGAAAGAGAGATAAAGGAGCAAAGTTTCATTTGTTGTGTAGCCCTTTGTCTCTCGCATCCCAATTTTCAAAAATATTCTCTCTCCTCTCTCAGTCTCTCTCTCTTCTTTATTTTCACTTTCTATAAATCCAAACTCTTAAACAAAAGATTTTGTCTTTCCATCAACATCACTTCTCTCATAACTCCCCCAAAAACTCTCACTTCTTTCTCTCATTAACTTCGTGTTCTTCGTCTATTATTTTCACTTCCAACAAGCAAAGAAACAAAACATACAAAAAGGATGAGTTCAAGAGTGTTCAGAGCTACACCAGATAGCAACTATTTGGTCCCGGTCCCCAGGAGATCTAAAGACCACCAAGACACCAGTCCCGACCGGAACCGGATCTGGTTAGAGCCTCGTCATAAACCGGTCGTTAACCGGAAAGTCCCCGTCGTCTATTATCTCTGCCGGAATGGTCAGCTGGACCATCCCCATTTCATTGAAGTCACCCTCTCTTCCCACGATGGTCTCTATCTCAAAGGTAAACCACCCAAACTCAATTGCTTTTTAAAACCCCACAGATTTTTCTTCTTTGTGTAGCCTTTTGAAAGAAAAAAAAAAAAGCCTATTTTTTTCAAATAAACAAGAAAGTTGCTTTTTTGAATTCGAAAAGTTTTGAAACTCTCCTTTCTCTTTGGCTTTATACTCTTTATTACTACTGAATACTGGAACATAACAGTGAAATAGGCGGCAAATTTTCGAATTTAGCTTCAGAAAAACAGGAACTTTGTTGGGTGTTTCTTTCTCTCACTTTCCCCGGAAACATTTTTGTTGTTTCTCCAATTTCTCAGATGTGATAAACCGCTTGAATGATCTCAGAGGGAAAGGCATGGCAAATCTCTACTCTTGGTCTTCCAAAAGGTAACGGTTTCTCCTCCACCGTCAAATCTGTATAATCCTCTTCCTTTAGATCGATCTAAACCTCGTTCTGATCTTCTGAACCTTTTTTTTCTTCAGGAGCTACAAAAATGGATTTGTGTGGCACGATTTATCGGAGGACGATTTCATCTTCCCCGTCCAAGGTCAAGAGTATGTACTCAAAGGCTCTGAGGTTCTCGATTCTTGTTTCATCTCAAATCCTAGGAGCCTCCTCGAAACGACGTCATTTAGGGATCCGAGATCTCTAAACCCAGAAAAAACCTCCGGCGATGATATCCCGGTGGTGAATCGCCGGCGAAACCAGTCGTGGAGCTCTATCGATCTCAGCGAGTACAAGGTGTACAAAGCAACCGAGTCGAGCGCCGAGTCGACTCGGAGGCTCGCGGCGGACGCTGCAACGCAGACGGACGATCGACGTCGGCGGAGAAAACCGGTGAAAGAGGAGATAGAGGAAGTGAAAAGTCCGGCGAGTTACGAGAATCAGAGCACTGAGCTGAGCAGAGACGAGATTTCTCCTCCACCGTCGGATTCGAGTCCCGAAACCTTAGAGAATCTGATCAAAGCAGATGGACGGCTGATATTGCGTCCGAACGAGAGTAGTACCGAACATCGGACGGTCGAGAGCTTATCGAGCGGGAAAATGAGGGCTTCGGCTGTGTTAATGCAGCTGATATCGTGCGGTACGATGTCGTTTAAAGAATGTGGGCCCGTTTTGCTGAAAGATCAAGGGCTGTCGTTGACTGGGCGTAGCGGGTGTACGGTAACGCGAGGAGCGGGTGAGAATTGTCTAGAGAAGGCAGAGAAGGAATTAAAGAGTTTTGGAAGGGTAATATTGGAAGATAAGGAGTATTTTAGCGGCAGTTTGATTGAGACCAAGAAGGAACTTGTTCCTGCTTTGAAAAGATCTTCTTCTTACAATGCTGACAGGTAAAAAAACATTTAATGGGGTTTGCAAACGTCAAGCAGTTTGCTTTCCTCTAGTGTGAAACGGCTCGTAGTTCTTGTTTTATTTATTTCCTGTACATTCCCCCAATAATTTGGTGATGGCGTGAATAGATTGAAGAGCTGAAAATGGTAAAAAGTTTAGAAGTACTATTTGGTGTGTCTATTAAACGTCTCTTCGTAATAGATTTTTTTCTTTAAAAAAATAATATTTGATAATTTTATTAGGAGTTCAAGAATGGGACCAACGATGGAGAAGGACGAGGAAGAGGCGGTTCGAGCAAAGTGCATTCCGAGAAAACCAAAGTCGGTGGCTGCAAGGAACAATGGTGGTGTGCAGCAGCAACAAAACGGCACGAGTGTCTGAGGAAAAGGAAACAAAACGGCAAGGAGTCTAACAAATCTTATTTTGGGTTTAAGTAACAAAAGATTAGGGAATGATGATGAGTTTTGTAAGCGTTGTGAATTGTGTTAGGTAATTACTAAAAAAATTCCTATGCATGCTAAAAAGTTAAGAGTAAAAAGATGATGGGTACATATACTAAAATTGTTGTAGTTTGAGCCAAGGTGTCTTTTGAGGCTAATTTCATTCTCGTTTTAGTTATTGGGAATCACACTCTGTTAGGTGCCTGTTAGTTTCCATTGATCACTCTAATCACATTGAAGTAATACCGAATGATTATAGGAACTTCATTTTGTTGATAGAATGTCTAGTAGTAGTAATATGATCGACTTGATGTTGTAGACATTTATATGAATTTTCTCACTATGCAAATCATTTATAAAGTTTAATATTTGCCAAAAGTGATTAAGGAACAAGTGATACAACTATAAGAAGGAAAATAAATAAATATTGAGACTCTCTTCTGACAAAGTAGTCAGAATTCTTTTTTTTTTTTTTTTTTTTTTTTTTGAACAGCTAGAGTCAGAATTCATTTTCTCGAAGATAGCTGTAGGTGTATAACTAACTATTTGATTCCTTTGGTTTCTTTTGCAGTAAAGAAACCACTGTGTTGAGTATTCCTATCATTTACATAATGACTCTAGTTTGGCGTGATTAGTTTAGAGAAAATAGTAAATATTTGTTAGTTGTTACTGGAAAATACATCGAAAACATTATATTATATCAAATAAATACCATCGAACTGTGGTAAAGTGATACATGTCCTTGGAATCATAAATAGCGTAGAGTCAATACTGGGGGTGGTGCCTTGAGGTTACAAATTTATAATTCACAAAAAAGCCTCTATGCCCTTTAATTTTGGCCTATATGTACTTTTTGGCGTCAACTCCAATTTCAATTTGTAGCACGTACACAATAGCATATTATAATAATCATGCAAAAAGAAATTTCAATAACCAACAATGTTGTCTTTTTGACTTTGAAAACATAGAAGTTTCCACTTACCCATTTCTAGAAGTGTTAAATATCGCACAGTTCTATTCAAAGTCTTCGTTCATATCATCGTAATATTCTATGCCTTAAGAAGAAATGCATCATAAAATTCATTTATTAGAGTGGACATCCGTTATACTCGTAAGCTTCACTATCTTAAACACGTTCAGCCTCGTACGAATACATTGTTAAAGAATCAGCTCATGCATTTATTATTTTCGGAATAAACTTGAAATACAAAACATCAAAAATGGTGGCACACTTGGCTATATCAACCAGGATGCAATGGAGTGTCGATAAAGGAGAACCAGAGTTAATGACTCTAATGATCTGTAGTATATTAGATTCAACCGATAAGTTTTTAATTCATGCATGAAACGTGGCTACTCGAATTGCCATACCTTCTTCTGCTATTAATGAAAATTTGACAAAGAGTAATAAAACTTGGGATTTGCTTACTATAGTTTCGTGTCATTGGTTTGACAGAATCCACTTTAAACTTGCCATCGAATAATTAGTTAGGCTGTTTTTAAAATTATCAACCTGGTTAATTTGAAATGGGAGGTAGAGTTATATACATTAGAAACATTTGCTCTTTCATGATTGATTTTGAATTAGAGCTCATGAACCTTGACATGGTATCACAGTCCCATTGACCAAATGTATATTGCCATATAAAATAAAAATCATTCTATACTTAATCGATCTTGAATTAAAAATTCCATTTTAGACCAAATTAAAATAAAGTAAACCTATATCATCTAGAGAGTCATACTTCTTGCTGTGCATTCAAAAATAGATAGAGAATAAGATCTTGCAGTAGGTGACTGACTTCACTGAAGTGAATTCATATTTTGGTAAAAAGAGCTGTCGTTGCGTGTACACATTGTACTTCACAGCCTTTCTTATTCCTTTTTTATATTTACAGCAAAACTTTTTTTGCATTTCTTACAATTTCACTGTAAACTTGCTGTGAGGGGTAATAATCACATGTAATACGATAGGGACTGTCAGAGAAAAAAAAAAAATCAAGCAAACTCTCTCAATCTTAAATACCAAACTTGAGAGGTACTATAACTGTTGGTGATAACGATCTACTCCCAATTTCGAAAATATCTATTCAATTTTGATATTACGGTGCGTTAGAGCCATGAAGTGTGCACGTGCGGATCATAGTAATACCATAAAAGTTGTTTCCCATTTCTAATTAAATTCATGCCTAAGGGATTCATGCTAAGAAATGTCTGTATGACCTTTAATATTTATCTTTGGCGATTGTTATATTTAAGGAGGAGAACACAAATCAAGATTGAGAAAATTTTAACCAGTACACCTAACCTAACAACAGACAACATCCGAATCAATGTACAACTTGGATACACTACCGACTAGTTTAGCTGGTTAACTATAAACCAAAATGCTAAAAGAACGGCACAAAAGGGCCACAAAAAACAAGACCCAAGGATTCAGAATTTGGTCTAAGAACGGCCTTGGATCATTGAGACAAAAGCCTTAGACCATGTCTGTTTGACCGAGCTAGAGATTTCCGAGCCGCCCACATGCGCACTAAACATTTTTCCGCCTGGACCGGTAAGGACCCACTTAACTTTCTGTGGTGGGGTTGGGTCAATATCCTCGGTCTGAAACCCGGTTATATTCAGGTTCCCGAAAAGCTGAAAAATCCAATGTGTTAAAAATAAGAATCAACAGTCAAACCGGTACAACCTTGTCTTCGAACCGAATCAACTTAGGAAACTTACTGAAAGTCGCTGGGAATGATGAACTATGGACTGAAACGAGTCAGCTGCACCGTTCAAGTATGTCTCAACAGCAGCCATGGAACGTAACTTCTTCCCGGTTCCAGGCTCAATGTAAAACTGCAAACAAACAGAGCAATAACAGTTTTGTAAATCGCGGACCACGCAAACCAAAGCCACAGATGTGTGTAACCTTCACCTTGTCTATATGACTTGAACCTCTCCGCGGTTTCTCCTCAACGATCCATCCATCAGGTAAACTGAAATCTTTTGAATGGCCACGGTGATACTGTGAAACCATAAGCTGCTCATCTGTACGGTTCCGGGATTCTTTTAAGTATCTCTCAACGGAAACAAGGGAGCGAAACCGCTTCCCCGTTTTTGGCTCAGCATAATACTGCAAGGAACAATACATATCACATTCTCAACTCTCGACTCTAAAACCACCAGATTATCTCAGATATCCTCCTCACATTCCGTTCTTGTATGTATAATCCCAGAACCATATGCTTGTTCTACATAGTTCCCATAAGCTCTCTACACAAGTACCTTATCAATATGAGGAGAGTTTCTCCTCGGACGCTCTTCAACTTTCCATCCTTTAGGCAAACGGAAACCCCTGGAGGCATATTCTGATCTGCGATGATCCTACAAATGCATAACAGACTGATTCTTTAAAGTTTTTTAGATCAAAGAACCATATGCTTATTCATTGTTCAAATCTGGTTCCAAAGTGACCTGTTTGGTTCTGGATCCTTCATAAGCCCTAGTATCTTTTTTCGAGAAGCGTCCTGCTCGAGTCAAGCGTTTGTCATCTACTTCTCCAGCCAAGTCTCTTTGAACATATTCTAGAGCTGGAAACTCTCTACCAGTCCCTGGCTCGATAAAGTACTTACCCACAAAGATTAAAGAAAAAGGAAAGATGAGATTTTTTTTTCTTTTTCTAGAAGATAAATAAACTCAAAGAGCTATATATGTGACACAAAATCACTAATTCGATCCCAATCATATATATGGATTGCTCGTAAGACATGAGAAATCTAATACACACCTCCTCCGTATCAATTCCAATTTTCAATCCCAAATGCAGTTTCAATGCAGAAAAATCAGAATTTCGTTATTCTTGTGACAAAATTTGAAATTACGTTTCACATTTGCTTGAAGGAAACAACAATCCACAATCGGAAAATTCTGGATCAAGGTCACTTCACTTACAGTATCGACACTTCCGTTGGTGCTAGGAGACGACGATCGCGGCCGATTCACGACGGTCCAACCCGTCGCAAGTTTCCCGCGAAACGAAGTGGGGTCCACGATCTGCAGCTGGCGTTTGCGGCTGTGGTGATGATCCGCCGGAAACGGGACAAGAGGAACCAGGTCCTTGGAGGCCGAGCATGAAAGACTCGTCTGCATCTCTTTCGTTGCCGGGTTTAGACCCAATAACCCGAGCGAGGTTTAGTCGGTTAAGAGTAAAGCTCCACACAGTTTATGCAGTACCCTTCTTCTCGCTGGACACGCAAAAAGCAGCACCATTACAATTGTCGCTCACTCACACTTCCACTTGGCAGTATCATGTTTCGTAAATATATGATTAAAGAGAAAATTACATAATATTATTATCCCTCTAAAGATATTATATGATGTGTATTAAGTAAATTACATAATATCAATTCTTCTTTTTCATTATTAAGTTGGTGAACTAGCTTAGTTAACAGTGAAATTTTATCCAAACTAATAGAATGATTCATATATCAAGTAGACAGTCTGATGAATAAGACAATAACTAAAGTTGGACGACAATGGGACTCCTAACGTAATGTTTTGAATCAGTCCACGTAAGCTCTCCGAAGACGTAGCCTAAAGGCTTCGCTGACTTGGGACTCAACGTCATCCGAAATATCTTCACCTCACCAACTTTGCTGAAGTTGAGCTGTTTGGGCTCCACGGAGATGCTTACACCAAGCGGCTGTCGGTAACGGGCATTGTAAGTGGCAGGCGTTCCAACGTTCTTGAGCTTGCGCGTGACGGTGACAGAGTCCGTGAGGCTAGGAACAGTGATTGAAGGGTAGTTGAAGTCCAGAAGATTAGCTCCTTGGCGGCATATGTAGCGTGGATCCTCCGCAAAGAGTTGAACTGACTGGTTGTTGTAACCGATGGCGCAGAGGAAGTCTACATAGTCTCCAGTGGTGAGATCGTAGACAAGGCCAGGATGTGAAGCTTTATTGGGTTGGACATGACCCGAACCGTAGCCAAAAGGAGTTGCTTTGTTGAATGACTGATCAACCATAGGTTTCCGCCTGTTGTCCCTGGTTCTTGAAGTGGTCATGATGGCAGAGCGGATAGCAGCAGGGCTCCATTGAGGGTGAAGAGTCTTCAAGAGACCAACGATGCCTGAGATGTGAGGACAAGACATGGAAGTTCCTGACTCGGTGTTGAAAGGAGTTCTGCGGTTGTCAAATTCTAAGTCCGTAGGGCTCTTGGCTTCAGTGAAGGCGGCTATGACGTTGACACCAGGTGCTGTTATGTCAGGCTTGAGGATTCCAGGTGTGATGGTGTTGGGACCTCTGGAAGAGAATGAGGCCATGAAAGGAGCAGGCTTCGTGTTCAGTGTACTGGTAGGCGCCTTTATGTAACCTTTGGGATCTTTGGTGGAATTTAGGTATGAAAACACAGCTTCACCATCTTTGTAATCAATCTGAGAAGCAGGGAGTACATGAGGGTCTGAAATGAGCTCGTTTCCGCTAGCTTTGTCGTTGCATAGTATCATTCCTACAGCTCCTGCGATGGCTGCTTGTTGTCCCTTTTCTACACGTGGGTTGTCTCCTCTTAGACACACCACAATCTTCCCTCTCACCTTCTCGTGGTCTAGGCTATCTTTCTTGCATAGCAATCTACGTATCCAAACACTAATTTACTTAGGACTTGAACATTACACATCCCCAGATTAAAAATGGATTTAGCTTGTACTTACGCTTCTAACATTGACGCATTGGCTGTTTTAGCGTCTGCGGCATTGATCAGGTCATACATCTTCTCTTCGGGTAAACCCTTCGAGAGGCTAGTTCCCTACGTTCCAAAACTAGTTACTTATAGCGCAAGCAACCAAGAAAGGAATAGAAAAGTGAAAAAGACCAAAAAACCTTGAAGCGTTGGCCGTTGTTGAGCTCAACAAAGGCCTGAAACTCCCGATCCATGGAGCTAGCTCCGACTGTAATAATCCACGGTGCGACGTTAGATACGGATCCAGGTTTAGGACCCGAATTCCCAGCGGAACACACAACCGTCACACCGTTTTTGGCGGCGTGGAAGGAACCGATGGCGATGGCATCTTTCAAATAATCTTCAGCATCTCCGCCCACTGAAGCCGAGATAACATCAACACCGTCGCCGATAGCTGCATCAAACGCTGCCAACATATCAGCATCAAAGCACTCATTGCCATCCACAGGCGTCCAACACACTTTGTAAGCGGCGACTCTCGCCTTAGGAGAACCACCACTGGCTGTACCGTTCCCGACGCCAAACACATTAGCTCCGGGAACAAAGTTTCCGGCCGCCGTGGAAAGAGTGTGGCTACCGTGACCGTCGTAGTCACGAGGGGTTTCGAAGGAAGCGTTGGAGGGAAAGCGTGCGTAGGCTAAGTAACCTTTGTTGAAGTATTTAGCTCCAATAAGTTTCCTAGTTACATATATATGATGAATAAATAATCAATATAACTTGAAAAAGAAATCAATTAGATTAAGGTAGGAATAGTAAACAAAGGAGAAGATGAGAACCTGTTGCAAGAAACATCCTTCTGGCAACTACCTTTCCACCTAGCCGGAACAGCTCCATACCCTTCATCGCTGAAGCTTTTTGACTCCGGCCACACACCTTCATCAATTAACATATTTTATATCTTTCAAAAAGTTCAAAAGAAAAAACATAGAAAAAATGTCCATGACAGTCTTTTAGCATACGTTTAATGGCAAATTGTATAGAGCATACAAATATTTTGAGACGTTCTTGATGACTACATTATGATCAAAGTTATGAAGCATGATTAATGTAATCGATCGACCACTATCGACTTGTGTACATCTATATATGATGAGCAATGTACACGCTTTCTTTGGGAATTACCTGTGTCAAGATTCGCTATGATTGTGCCCTCTCCGAATCCTGCTTTATTCCATAGAGAAGACTTGTGAACCACGCCATTTTTCTCAAGGAGCATGAAATTCCATGAATGAGTGGTATGAAGTTTTCTTCCTTTGTTTAAGAATACGGAGAGTACATCGGGATGCTCTGCATTATCCAATAATTATTCAAAAATTACATAGGTGAACCAAAGGGAAATGACTAGAATAATTCGAGGGACTGGTGAACTCACTGGCGATTTCGGCAGCTTCATTTTCGTCGAGAACGGCAGCAAAACCATTGATATGTCTCTTGTATGAGTAAAAGATGGCCTCTTTTGCACTTTCATGGCTGCAATGGTGTATATATGACTTATTTTAACATGCCAAAAACTTTTCTTTCGAATTAATAATGAAAATTTAAAAGTCATTAATCCGAAGTCATATTTCAAAAACATTGGTTCGAGTCTTTTCGAGCAAGAGATAAAATGGAGAGATGGTGATACTGATACCTTCCCAAGAAAGAGGAGAGAAAAGTGTGATGTGAGCGAGCTACAGCATTGAGTTGGGCAGAAGAGGGTTGTGGAGGATGGGCGTGAGAACCAAAGTACACTATGTAGGACTGTTTACAATCAAAAAAATAAAATACGTAAGTGCATATCGTAAAAGCAAATATACAATAGAGAGAGAGAGTTAACGAGAATAGGGAGAACCTTTTTAAGAGCAAAAGCAGGAGAGACAAAGAGAGTGAAGAGGAGAAGAAGAAGAAGAGAGAAACTTCGGAGGCACATTCTGTATTATGGCTAAAATGTAACTCACATTCACATACTGTATCTTCTCATATACAAAAAAACTTTTCCATAATTCTCTCGATCTCTGTCTATATTTGTAGATATATAGAATCACGCACAATCTCAACTTATACTATCAAATTCAGTTGAGTGATTTTAGCATAACTCCACAAAAAGAGTGAGAGGATCTTTCCTTACTTCCTTTCCATTTTTATCTCCCCATTTTTTGGAATTACGTTCGCCAAAGATTTTCTTCATCAATCTTTGTAACCCCAAGATAAAATTAAATGTAGCTGTAAGTCTGTAACTGATTATCATGGATTCAGCCTCAGCCTCAGGCTGTAACTTCTATTTCTTTGTATACAAATCATGGAAACAATTCAGAGGACAGAAGGGATCAATACGTGGTGAGTTGGGCCAGTTCGAAAACGTACATTTCCAGACCTGTTTAAAATACGCATATGTTTTTTTATTAAATTTTAATGTCACAGCTTACAGACGCGTAAATTTTCTAAATGCGTCAAATAATTGTAAGGATAAATTTATTTTGATTGGTCATATTTACTCTAGAAGTATGAATACATGATATTCCTTTTTCGTTGGCGTACAATGCACAACGGAAACAGATAGAGACGACTAGAGAGAGTCAAACAAAACAAGTCGGTCATATATGTTTATCCGTTTATACGTTGGTTGGTAATCCAAATAAACCAACAACAATCATATACTTGTCCAATCATATACTAAATTACTTAAATAGGCTTTTATAATTGACCTGATTAATAATCGACTTGGTTCTGAAATTACGAGAGATGGAGTGTGAAAACAAGAATCTTAAAGGTATATAACGAAGTTTAAGACCGCGTGGAAAAGGTACTAGAAGAGAGCCACGTCACTCTCTCTCTCTTTATATTTTTTTGTTTTTTGTTTTTTTCTTATCTCTTCTACTTGCTTCCCACGTTTCCATCAAACTTCCGTACATATCCTCTTTGTTATTTTACTCTCACTTACTCCCCCACTCCACACGCGATCTTTCAACGCGTACGTTTCACGCATTTGTTTTGTCATTGCCTTCGCTGGGATTATAAATGCTGCTCATTGCTGACGACAGTTTTAAAAGAACATTCTAAAACAACTGAGATTTTCTTTTAAAAAACTAAGAACTCTTTTATAGTAGCTATAGTATTTTTAAAAGAAACGTTAGAGCAGTTTCAACGATAAAATAATCATATCTATTTTATATAATATTAATATAAATTATTTATCTAATTAATATTTAAATATAAAATAAATGAACTAATATAAACTAATAATAAGCTGATGAGTATAAGAAACCGTTTTTAAAAAAATTCAAATGGTTTTTAGATTTTTTTTTCTTTTTTTTAATTTTTTAAAAATCTATTTAATACTTTTTTAAGAAATATCGATGGAGATACTTTTTATACATACAAAACTGAATTTAAATTAAAATCAAACCAAACTACTTAAATCAAAACTGAACCCAAATATTTTGTTTTAAAACTCATAAAATGGCTTTAGATATTTTTATAAATTAAATATTATCTAGAAGGCGTTGATTGTATAATATTCTTCCATATAAATATAGAAGACGGCGGGAGAAGTCACGCGCCGCGCGTAGTGGATAAAAATATACAGCAAACTCAGAGTTTTAGTTAAGTTTTGTAATGTACAAAAAAAATATCTTAAAATAATGAGAAAAGGTTTCGAGAAAGCACGAGGAAGATTCTCATCCAAACAAACGACTCTTTCGTTTTTATTAGTCGCCTAAGCTACGCGGTGTCGCAAATCGTGACCACATAACCCGCATCTTCGTTCTTTACCCTTCTCCCTTCCACGTAATTACGATCGTACCACACTCCTTCGCTGCCACTTCCTTACCCACCAAGTCACAAGGGTATATTCGTCATTCTCACACACGTCTTCAGTCCACACAACTCGATATCTATAAATACACATCCGAAACAGACACCAAACACAAAACACAACGACAACAAACACACACAACACAAACCCAATTTCGTTTTATTTCATATCAGATTATTAAAAAAAAAAATGGTTGCGATATCAGAGATTAAGTCGACGATGGAGACTACGGCGGCGAACTGTTTGATGCTTTTATCAAGAGTTGGCCAAGAAAACGTCGACGGTGGTGATCAAAAACGCGTTTTCACATGTAAGACGTGTTTGAAGGAGTTCCATTCGTTTCAAGCGTTAGGAGGTCATCGTGCGAGTCACAAGAAGCCTAACGGTGAGAATCTGTCTGGAGGATTGATGAAGAAGGCTAAAACTGCGTCGTCGCATCCTTGTCCGATTTGCGGAGTGGAGTTTCCGATGGGACAAGCTCTTGGAGGACACATGAGGAGACACAGGAACGAGAGTGGCGCGTTGGTTACACGCGCGTTATTGCCGGAGCCGACGGTGACGACGTTGAAGAAATCGAGCAGTGGGAAGAGAGTGGCTTGTCTGGATCTGAGTTTGGGGATGGTGGAGAATTTGAATCTCAAGCTGGAGCTTGGAAGAACAGTTTATTGATTTTTCAGTTACTTTTTTTTTTTTACCTGAATATATTTGTTTCTTCTTCATTCGTTGAATTTTTCTTAATATTTAGATTGATACATACATCTGCAGATTTAGGAAACTTTCGTAGGGTGTAATCTTTTCTTTTCGGTAAAAATATATATTTTACTTAGCATTTAAGATTATCAAGTTGTACGATATTTTTTTTTTGTGTGGCTCACGTTGAAATATCATATACGATCGTGCTATACTATTCCCCCACACCACGAATAAAAACAACCCGAATAGTCGATAGCTACAGTAAATGAATTTGAAAACATTACTCGCCGACCCAAAATATGTGCGAAGATAACGAAAGTGTTTGTTTTTTAACCTAACATAACTCATAAGCCGATACACTCCATAATCGCCTTGCGTTTTTGTAACCATGATAAAAGCAATTGTAGTTTGTGTTAAAAGACTAATTAAGCAGAAGTTAAAAGCTAAATCCTAACTCGCTAAACATACACGATCTCAAAACCCAAAATAAATAAACTCGAACAAGATTATTTCGTCAAACAAAAACCATTTCTAAATCCGATCCAAGCCGACCAAAAATTACAGATGGGTTGGTGCAGTTGGCAAACTGTGTGCAAAGAAACGATCCATATGCATTTATTCGAAGGTGGACTTTGCAAAAAGATAGAACAGTACTGGTTGCATTTCGCTTCATCACGATATATATGTACAAAGTAATATAGGGTAAGATTAATATAATTAGGGCGTATTGGATTGCAAAATGAAGATGGAGATGAAGAAAACCTGAGATGATTTGGAGACATGTGAGATTTGTTTAGTTGAGGTAATTAAACATTCAAATGAAGTTATTGATAGAGACACACGATTGGGTTCTATTAGCTAGTAGCAGCCTAGCAATTTTTGGATTCTCTGCTCATCCAATCCAAAACTGTCTTTATTAAACTATTCTTTAGTATACTATCGAGTGGTCGTCACTTGGAAGAGTTTGAACGTGAAAAGGGCCCTGGGCTCCATCTGCTATTACTGCCATCAAATAGAAAGTATTTGGGGCCTTTTGGGCCGACAACACTTCAAGAGATGAACGGTCAAGATTATACGTCACTCAACACGCGTAAGATAAGCTTGGTGGTAACTGAAACATCAGATCATGCGATTTTTGCTTTAATGCCTTGATAAAAAAAAACATAAAAAATAAAATAAAAAAGCAAAGTTCGGGTGCTTCTCGCGCACCGTATCATCGCTTACCTTTTTTTTTTCGCCGGCGAACTTACGCTCTTCCTTACCGGCGATCAATTGAGGTAAAACTATCTTTGTGATTTCTCCAAATTTTCAGCCATTCCGTCGCGATCTTCACTGCGTTTTGTTTTCGTTCCAATTCGTTTTTTTCGCTTTCGAAATTTCAACACTCTTTACTGAGCCGATTAGATTTCAGTTTCTAATGGATTTAGCTTTTGGCTGCTTCTCTTTCTGTAAAAACGTATTTTTTTCCCTGCTACGAATTCGTTTTAGAGATTTGATTTTGCGAAATTCGAATCTGTGAGGAAGATAAAACTCGCACTTGCTCTTTGACGACGCAGTTAAGGAGGAAGGAGTTGGAGATTGAATCGGAATATCGCGACGTTTAGCTCAACTCTGAAAGTAGGAAAGGGATAAACAAATGGTACGCCTCCGAGCTTTGCATTAGGGTTTATGTTTCCTGGGATGACTTTTTTCTGTATTGGGGATCACTTCTGATTTGGTCGAATTTGCGTTCGTTTTCAGTCATACGAAAGCAAAGGTTTCTGGGTTCTGAAGAACAGTGAGCACACGAGCGAGGAAGACTCAGTGTATGATCACTCAACAAGAGACGATGCAAAGCGTCCTCATCCTTGGTTTGTCGATTCCTCTCGCTCAGAGATGTTCCCGAACAAGAAGCAAGCAGTGCAGGATCCAGTGGGTTTAGGGAAATCAAGTGCAGGCCTTCCTCTGTGGGAAAGCTCGTCGGTGTTTCAATCAGTCTCGAACCAGTTCATGGACAGGCTTCTAGGGACTGAAATGCCAAGACCCCTTTTGTTCGGCGATAGAGATAGAACAGAAGCTGGGAGCCTTCACCAACCCAAGAGCATAGGAGGGAGTTATATGGAAGACAGGTCTGTTGAACTGTCGATATCTAATGGCGTGGAGGTCGCTGGAAGCTGTTTCGGTGGTGATGGAGTTAGAAAACTTCAAGTTAGTCGGGTTAAGGAAACGATGAGCACACACGGTGGCTTAGACGGTCATGGTCTAAGGAAGATCGAGTCATCTTCGATACAGCCTTGTGGCAGGGAGAGCGAGAGTAGTAGCAGTAGTTTCGTGAATTTCGCACTGGCGGGTCATTCTTATGGCAATGAAGATTCTCATGGGATCACATTTGGTGAGATTAATGACGAGCACGGTGATGGCTCTGGTTCCAACGTGGTTGAGAACTATCAGTCTTATGTTCAAGAACCCATTGGAACATCCGATATGGTTTACGGCCAAGAAACCGCACAGACAAGCGGCGGAGCTGTAAGTGAACAGCAAGCGGCTAAACCGAGTTTGGAATCTGTTCCGAAGAACAAAGCAGAGGGCAAGACGTCAAAGAAGGAAGCTTCCACAAGCTTTCCTTCAAACGTCAGAAGCTTGATATCAACCGGTATGCTCGATGGCGTTCCTGTGAAGTACGTTTCTCTCTCACGTGAGGTAAAACCTGAATGTCTCAGCTCAACTTATTTATAAGCTTTACTATTTTTATTCAAAGTCTTGGAATTTGTAATTTTTGCATCGAAACAATCTAAAAAAAACAGGAGCTTCGAGGAGTCATAAAAGGATCGGGTTATCTCTGCGGATGTCAAGCTTGCGATTTCACAAAGGTGAGTCGTCAACATTAAAGCTCAGTTTTTGAGGAACCCTGACTGATTAATAACTTGGTTCGGCTCTGATCATTGAAAGGTGCTTAACGCGTATGCATTTGAGAGACACGCCGGGTGTAAAACGAAGCACCCGAACAATCATATCTACTTTGAAAACGGGAAGACGATTTATCAGATAGTTCAGGAACTTAGGAACACTCCAGAAACTATGCTCTTTGATGTGATTCAGACTGTATTTGGTTCTCCTATCAACCAGAAAGCATTTCGCATATGGAAAGGTTTAGTCTTCTTCTTCTTCTTGTTCTTCTTCTTCTTGTTCTTCTTCCTCCTCTTCATGGATTTGCATTTGCTTTCGACTTTCTAATGTCCCATTTTTTTATCTCGTTCAGAATCATTTCAAGCTGCGACTCGTGAACTTCAGCGTATCTATGGCAAAGAAGAGCGTTCCTTTTGAATGTAAAATATTATACATTATGTGGAAGATTCTTAGATTGTAAACATTTTGCTGGATCTTAATGTAAAATCTTTCTTGTTTTTTTGCTTGTATGTGCATAAATAGAACCTTCAGTAAAGAGAAAAGCTCTTAGGAAGTGATGAATGTAACAGGGAACGCAAAAGATAAGAATAAATTTGAGATATGAGCAGAAGTTAAGCGACTTAGCCACAGAAGCAGCTTCAGGGATATCTAATCAAATTTGAGAACAAACGATTTCTTCAAGATTCTATTATCCTCATGAACAAACTAAAATGCCAACTTAGAACAAATCATCAATTGAAAAAGAAATTACAAAAGCACCCAAGACAAATCTGTTTTTTCTTCTTCACTTCACTTCAACTTCAGAACTTTGGGGACTTTTTAAGTTCCACAGCATGCAGACTTCTGCGTGGCCTGCCCGGCTCCAGCCGCCTGGTCTGTTTGGCTGATCTTAATCGTCGCAGGCTGCAATGAACAATGAACGATGGAATTGTGAGAAACAAAAAAAAAATGTGAATTGAAGGAAATGCTGAAGTAGCTAATCACCTCTGCTCTCGAGTCGGTATCTGCTAGTCTCTGCTTAATGTCTTTTGCTATCGAGAAGAAAACTTCTTCCACGTTTAGATTTGTTTTGGCACTCTGAGATGCAAAATGGCATAGCTATGTAAGCAATGTAAACGACAAATGTAGTTTTAAGTTGGTCTCCGGAGACTAAAGATTTGAGACAATGTTTGGCTTACTGTTTCGAAGAACTTGATTCCATATTCATCAGCAAGTGCTTGACCCTTTGCTTTTGGCACAGCCTGAAAACAAAAAGTGTTGGACCAAAACCGCTATTAGTTGGGGATTACTTGAGAATCAGGAAGTATGGTAATGTCGGTGTGAATGAAGTAGCTCGTATTGTACCCTCTTGCTCTCGTCCATGTCGGCTTTGTTCCCTACCAAGATTTTGTTGACATTATCTGAAGCGTGCTGTTCGATATTACGAATCCAATTTCTAATGTCTGCAATAAGGTCAAGAGAGCAGGTCCAGAACAAAGCAGAAGCGTGAAACCAAAGATTTTATGCGTAGAAAGAATTGACAATTTTAGGTGGATCATTCATATGAGACAGACGAAAATTTACTGTTGAAGGACGACTCGTCTGTGACATCATACACCAGCAAAATGCCCATTGCTCCTCGGTAATAAGCTGCAAACATGTCAAACGAAAGAAAGAGATGAACATAAATTCTTCAAACTAGTGTTGCAATAAAAGAGGCTTAAACAACTAAATATTCCACAAAACATCACCGATTATGTCAAGTACAATGCACAAACAAATTAATGGAGAATATATATATTTATGTATCCCTAAGCAAGAGATGAGAGAGCATCAAATAGTTTACTCTCAAAGATGCTCATCAACAAATCTTATCAGTCACGAATGTTCTCGAAGACCTTTACATCCATTTACCAGTGGGACAACGTATGCTAAACACACTATTAGAGCAATAAGTTCATATGAAAGAAGGATCACACTCACCAGTGGTGATGGTTCGAAACCGTTCTTGCCCGGCCGTATCCCAAATCTGGAGTTTGATGCGTTTGCTATCAAGCTCAATGGTTCTTATCTTAAAATCAATGCTGCATCAAAATCCAAAGAGAACAAACTCAGTGAGACATCTAGGAAAGAGAGAAACATGCGTCACAGTCTCTAAATCTCTTTACATGGTTGAAGAAATACAAACCCAATGGTGGTGATGAAGCTAGTGGTAAAGGAGCCATCAGAGAACCTCAAAAGCAAACAACTTTTACCCACACCTGAAACAATATTGCGTGAAGCCCTAAGTTATATAGATCTAAACACACATTGTTAAACAAACAAACAAAATGAAACTCGTAATGATTTTTCAAGTCGAGCACAAAAGAGGGATCGAGAGTGGAATCAAATTTGCCACACGAGTACTTCAGCAACATACAAGATTTCGGGAATGTCCCAGTGACTAGATCGGTTTTGACAGAGTAATTGAAAATGTATACAATTCGGTGAATTCAAATTTATCGATTGTATCGCTTTCGATCCCGAGGAAAAGACGAGAGACGACGTACCGCTATCACCGATCAGAAGAAGCTTAATGAGATAATCGTAATCGGCTCTAGCCCTAGCAGGTGGAGCAGCCATCGAATCTAAAATGGGAAAACTCAGAGATCAAACCAAATTAGCTGTGTTTCATCTAACACGAAGGAGATCGAAAACCGCACAACATAAGGAATAAACGGCGAATGGAGAAGATCACGATGAATGCGTACCAGACCAAATGAAGCAGAGAAGAGACCGTGGTTATAGTGATGAGCAGAGAGGAGCGAGAGCGATGAAAATGGCGGACGGCTAAAATACGCCTGTCCTGATTTAACTTCTCTTTTGTTTTTCTCTCCTGCTTCTTTATTTATTATACGCCCTTCTTCTTCGCGTGCACGATATTACCTCCCGCGTAAGTTAGCACCCGAAACCGCGAAGAGTAGTGGAGAGAGAGCATAGTCTGGCCCAGAAAACATGAAGCCTTATGGGCCTTTTTTCTATAAACTCGTAGATACAAATCTGATGGACTAACCAAAAATAGACACGTGGTATGAATTGTGATAATTCCATAAATTGTATAGAATCCATACAATAAATGTCAAATATACAAAGTTAAAAAAAAAAGAGACAACTTGGGTGAAGTATAGATATGCTTATAAGCTACTCTTTGGCAACAGCAACAAAATTTTCTAGAACTACAATGATTTTTGATGGGGAAAGTGAATAGAAAAAAATGAAAGTTCTACAATGAATTTGATTTTCTGTAATTTATGTGTACATATGGAACACACATACATATATATATGTGAGGTAAAGAGAGAATTTAAATAGAGAAAATGAAGACAATAAATTCGAAAGAAAAGAAAGTTATACCTCTATAAATACTGACAAGCTTCAAGGACAAGATCAGGGACTAAAGACTTAGCTGATGACTTCAACAGAGCAGTAGAGACGCTCATCACTTTTCAACACTTAGAAGATGTCACTACTTAACTTAGTCAGCTGAGCATTGCCAAAGAAGCAGCTATGGTTAAGGCCTGTCTAGATGAGGAAGGCATTCCCAAAGGACAAAAAGACGGTTTAAGCATCAACAACGGTCCGCATATCAGCAGCATAGGTTATACACGTGACTGGCCATTGATTCATGCCAACAAAGGAGTTTCCTTATTCACCATCACGTCGTCTAAGTAAAATGCATCACTTTGAGCTAAACCAAAGTATGATCCGAATCCTTAATTTCTATATGGTTTAGTTCTACTAATCAAACCTTTTCTGTTTTGTTTCTTGGTTTAAGTTTTATTTCATTTAAACTTTAGTATAAGGCATGTTGGCCACATTTTATTTGTATTTTTCGTTTTAAGGCATTGTTAGCCAAGTAGTTTAACCTAAAGGTTTTGTAATTTGTTTCAAGTCCTCTAGAAGGGCAAAGCTGTTCGGACTGTTTATAAAGTCCCCTTACAGCCGTGTATCATTTTCAACATATCAATAAAGAACGAACTTCTTGGCTAAGTATCAAATCTCTTGTTTTCTAAAGCTTTGTGTGATTCATTGCTTGAGAGTTCTTGTCTTATCAAAGTTTATCTCCATAAAGCCTTGTGGCGACTTTCAATCCATCTCCTATTCATCTCACAACCTAGATCTTGCAAATAGAGTGGTACAACTCTTTGTTTGGTCTCCATCTCGATCCACTTCCTTCCATAGTCCATCCATTGATTGCACGTCGAAAGAATTGAACAACCAGCGGCTCAATCCCATCACAATACACGGTTACTAGCTTGTAGGCGTGTGTCACAATTTAATGAGATTTCATTTGGAATAAATCAATAAAACAATAATATAGCTAGAATTCTCAACTAATCTTTAATTTTGCAAACCATTATGTTATGCATGCAAACAAAACCCATTGCTAAACAACTTAAGTCCCGAGAGAACCGTTTTACCAAAAAAATAAGTATGGCATTAACTCCATCAGCCATTGGACAAGAATTGTATAAGGACGAGATCTAGTTTCACAATATAGGCCCCATAAATTTAATTAATAGTGTTAAAGTAGGTGATCCATCATTTTTAGTCGAACTCATCTTATTAGCACAGATGCATTGGATTAAAACAACCAATACATTCTTATAGACTCTTTTTCTTCCAACTTGTCTAGAGAGTTTGTTTTAGAAAAAATTTGAATTATTGAAAACATAATAGTTAGTTGAAATCTAAGAAGTAAGAAAAGGGAAAAGGAAAAAGGAGAAGGCTCTAGAAGTAAGTTCCCATGCCTTTAGGTTCCCGATTACGTGTGATTCTTTTGTGATAGCTTTAACGTGATGGTCATTCAACGTGAACGACATTGTGCATTTGTGTTTTTCATTAAGAAATAAAAAATTATTAGCTGTATATTCATATATTTAATTAATTTCATAATAATGACAGTATTACTAATATGTAAAAGAATTATACAACGACACGCAAACGATGAAATTAATAGACTCTTCAAAAGCAAATTTACTTATCTTTGTAATATTTCTTAGTAAAGAAAGTTTGGCAAATGATTTGATAGGAGCGAATAACATCATTTATATTTTTTTAATAAAAGGTATACAAGATATATATGCAAATTGTAGTGATTTTTATAATAGAAATTTAGTAGTACTTGAATTTAGAATTTTGTATGATAATTACTAAATTATTCCTTTTCAAGTATATAAATATTTAATTAAGTTAATGTAATGACAGATATAATAGAATATAAAACAATAATTACATAAATGCAATTGCATTATTTAAAGTTTTAAACCTTTTTTTACATACTAGGAAACAAAATTTCGATATATGTGGTTTAATTTCGCAAATTGATGTTATTACTTTAAAACAACATGTATATGAGACAATTAATAAGAGCACCTCCATTAATGAGTTTCTAAGTAGAGTATCTAAACATAGAAAAAATAAAAAGTAATAATAAATTAAAAAAGGGGAAAAGATGGAAGAGAAAGAGAAAGTCTATCATAGAACATATCTAAGTATAATAAATAGGGGTCATTATTTAATTAGCTTAGATTTTTTATATTTTAATAATTTATTCTGTTATTAAATTATATTGATATAAAATGGTTAGAGACACAAGTTGAGATAGTAATTGATGGAGATTCTCTAATTAATAAGTTTGTAGTTGATTACATGTACAATGGATAGATAACAAACGTTTCACCTACTTTTGTTCACTATAAATAACTCATTTTTGTAGCCTTATTTTGCTCCTCCCAAACCATCACTTCTTTTGCATTGTGAGCAAATTTTGATTTTTTTCTTCATCTTACAAAAGTAACAAACTTTACCGAAGTAAATTTAAAAGATTTTCAACCTCCACTAAGAATGAAGACGAAAGTAGATATGGCACAAATATTCATTATGACTCTTCTCCTCACATCTTCTTTGTTCATATTTTCAACCGCTGATTGTAAGTATACACATACTTCATTTAATTATTTGAGATATATATTTTGTATTTAAATTTTGCTATATATTTAAATCTTTGTTTCCAATGATAAATAAATTAGCACCATGCAATGGAAAATGCAATGTGAGGTGTTCAAAGGCAGGAAGGCAAGATCGGTGTCTCCACTATTGCAATATATGCTGTGAGAAATGTGATGGTTGTGTTCCTTCAGGCACTTTTGGAAACAGAGATGAATGTCCTTGTTACCGTGATATGAAGAATTCCAAAGGCACACCCAAATGTCCTTGAACGATCATCCCCATAGATATCATATATCTATATAGTTATGAATATTACAATTATGGTTGATGCATGAAATAATGAGTTTGAAATATTTGGTGTATGGAAATGTGAAAAATCTTGACAATAAAACAAATAATGTTTTTTTATATGTGAATGTTGAAATATATAGAAATATATATATCTTGAACCATCGAAACACAGGATTGTGCAGGTCTCAACGGAACATCCTTTCTTTTACAACCTTGACATATCATCTTGCGGACAGAATGTGCGAATTGGGATGGTTTTATATTAGAACATAGAATTGTAATTTCCTTATCGTTGTTCATGTTTAGACTCTTTTTTGTATGGTTCACGCATTTGAAATCAAATAAAAAAAATGGTTAACACATTCTGTTTAGAAACAAGTCCGAGTTATTCCATTTAAGATGTTCACCAACCTCTCCTCTATATTCATCAGTTTAACTTATGTGTGTTTACTTACTAGTCAAATCAGTATTCTGTGTATGATTGCAGTCAAACAGAAACATAAAAAGGAAAAAAAAAAATTACACACCGCACGACGAAGTTTGTAGCAAAATGTGAGTAATAGCCAAATAAATTAGTGTTCAAATACAAAGAGAAATCCGGGCCGAGCCACAAGGATCTCAGTCTAACCCTGACGGACTCAGCCAACAGAACCATTCCGAATTTGTATAAGATGTTTTAGATTGTTAAATACGATAACGTAAGCTAGCACCCGAAACCGCAAAGAGCAGTGGAGAGAGAGCACAGTCTGGCCCAGAAAACATGAAGCCTTATGGGCTTTTTTTATAAACTCCTAGATACAAATCTGATGGACTAACCAAAAATAGACACGTGGTATGAACTGTGATAATTCCATAAATTGTGTAGAATCCATACTACAAAAGTCAAAATACAAAGTGAAAAAAAGAGACAACTTGGGTGAAGTATAGATATGCTTATAAGCTACTCTTTGCCAACAGCAACAAAATTTTCTAGAACTACAATGACTTTTGATGGGAAAGTGAATAGAAAAAAATGAAAGTTCTACAATGAATTTTGTGAAAACTCCCGATTTTCTGTAATTCATGTGTACATATGGAACACACATTACACACTAACACGTCACATACATATATGTGAGGTAAAGAGAGAACTTAAATAGAGAAAATGAAGGCAATGAATTTGAAAGAAAAAAAAAAGTTATACCTCTATAAATACTGAAAAGGTGGATACAATATAGTGAGATTTCATTTGGAACAAATCAATAAAACAATAATATAGCTAGAATTCTCAACTAATCTTTAATTTTGCAAACCATTATGTTATGCATGCAAACAAAAACCATTGCTAAACGACTTAAGTCCCGAGAGAACCGTTTTACCAAAAAGTATAAGTGTGGCATTAACTCCATCAGCCATTGGACAAGAATCGTATAAGGACGAGATCTAGTTTCACAATATAGACCCCATAAATTTAATTAATAGTGTTAAAGTGGGTGATCCATCATTTTTTAGTCGAACTCATCTTATTAGCACAGATGCATTGGATTGAAACAACCAATACATTCTTATGGACTGTTTTTCTTCCAACTTTTCTAAGGAGTTTACTTTACAAAAATTAAATTATTGAAAACATAATTATTAGTTGAAATCTAAGAAATAAGAAAAGGGAAAAGGAAAAGAAGAAGGCTCTAGAAGTAAGTTTCTATGCCTTTAGATTCCTGATTACGTGTGATTCTCTTGTGATAGCTTTAACGCGATGGTCGCTCAACGTGAACGACATTGTGTCTTTGTGTTTTTCATTAAGAAAAAAATTATTATTAGCTGTAAATTCATATATCTAATTAATTTCATAATAACAACAGTAATACTAATATGCAAGAGAATTATACGACGACACGCAAACGATGAAATTAATAAACTTTTCAAAAGCAAATTTACTATCTTTGTAATATTTCTTAGTAAAGAAAGTTTGGCAAATGATTTGATAGGAGCGAATAACATCAATTATATTTCTTTAATAAAAGATATACAAGATAAATATGCAAATGGTAGTGAGTTTTATAATAGAAATTTACCAGTACTCGAATTTAGAATTTTGTATGATAATTATTAAATTTTTCCTTTTCAAGGATGTTATAACTATTTAATTAAGTTTATGTAATGCCAAGTATAATAGAATATAAATAACAATAATTACATAACTGCAATTGCATTATTTAAACATTTTTTTACATACTAGGAAACAAAATATTGATATGTATATGGTTTAATTTCAAATTGATGCTATTACTTTAAAATAACATGTATACGATACAATTAATCAGAGCATTTCTTCTAAGTAGAGTATATAAAAAAAATGAAAATAATAATAAAACAAAAAAAAGGAGAAAGAACGAAAGAGAAAGAGAAAGACTTTGAAAGAACATATTCTTAGACCATCTGCATTGGTGAGAGACTCAAATGAGTCTCTCATCTAATATTTAATTATTTTATTTAGTATAATTTTGTTTTTGAATTATTTTTATAAAAACAAAAAATATTGAATCATTCACAATAAGATAAATGTATTAAAAGTTTTTAGAGAGTCTCTCAAAATTTTTCATATGAGAGATTCATTTTACTCTCTCTCTCTTCCTTCTTTCTTATTTTATTATTTTTTTAAATTGAGAGACTTCTTGAGAGACCTGCAATGCATTTGCTCTTAGATATCTGAGTGTAATAGATAAATATCATTATTTAATTAGCTTAGATTTTTTATATTTTAAATTTTATTCTGTTATTAAATTATATTGATATAAAATAGCTTGAGACTCAAGTTGAGATACTAACTGATGGAGATGCTCTAATTAATAAATTTGCAGTTGATCACGCACAATCGATAGATTACAGACGTTTCACCTACTCCAAGATTTTTTCACTATAAATAACTCCTTTTTGTAGCCTCATTTTGCTCCTCCCAAAGCATCACTTCTTTTGCGTTGTGAGCAAATTTTGAGTTATTCTTCTTCATCTTCCAAAAGTAACAAACCTTACTGAAGCAAATTTAAAAGATTTTCAACCTCCACTAAGAATGAAGAAGTAGCTGTGGCACAAATATTCATTATGACTCTTCTCCTCACATCTTCTTTGTTCATATTTTCAATCGCTGATTGTAAGTATACACATACTTCATTTAATTATTTGAGATATATATTTTGTATTTGAATTTTGCTATATATTTAAATATTTATTTCCAATGATAAATAAATTAGCACCATGCAATGGAAAATGCAATGTGAGGTGTTCAAAGCCAGGAAAGCAAGATCGGTGTCTCAAATATTGCATTATATGCTGTGAGAAGTGTGGTGGTTGTGTTCCTTCGGGCACTTATGGAAACAAAGATGAATGTCTTTGTTACCGTGATATGAAGAATATGAAAGACACACCCAAATGTCCTTGAACGATCCCTCGTAGATATCATATATCTATATACTTATGAATATTACAATTGTAGTTGATGCATGAAATAATGAGTTTGAAATATTTATGGTGTATGGAAATATGAAAGATCTTGAGAATAAACGAAATAATTTTTATTGGTAACACAATAAAAATGTGGAATGGCGGAAAAAATTAAGGTGTGGAATGGCGGAATAATTACTTTATGATTTGATTAATTATGTGAAATGGCAGAATTGTGGAATGACAAAAAATATATAAAATTAATTTTTCATAATAATATATTTTATATATAATTTGATATAATAAAAATTAAAATATTATTTATTATAAAAAACATAGTTTTAATATAACTAGAAAAAAATTAAAACTTTTATTGTAATTATTTATTTTTATTTTTATTTTTATTTTTATTTACTATAAAATATATAAATATATTGCAAAATTTAATCTACAGATATAATCTGATCATTATATAAATATATGCAGTAGAAATATATTTATTTAAATAATAAAATACAATTAATTATATAATTAAATGATATAAAATATTGATTCCACAAATAAGCTACTTGAAACACACTTTTCCACTTAATCAAATTTTCTTGATATTTTTTGTAAGTATTTCCGTCATTCCGCAGAACTCGAGTTTTAATATTTTTCTGCAAATTTTTCTGATTGGCAAAATTCTTGCGGAATCGTGTTTTTCTGCCATTTCACGAAGTTTATCAATTTTTATATGTGAATGTTGAAATATATATACAGTATGTTGATTAATAGAAAGATATTTCTTGAACCATCGAAACAGGATTGTTTATATATTTAATGGTCTCAACGGAACATCCTTTCTTTTACAACCTTGACAAGTTAACATATCATCTTTTTTTTTTTTGACAAAATTTACATATCATCTTGACAAGTTAACATATCATCTTGCGGACAGAATATGCGAATTCCGATAGTTTTATATTAGAACATAGAATTGTAATTTCCTTGTCGATGTTCATGTTTCGACTCTTTTGTATATAGTTCACGCATGTGAAATCAAATAAAGAAATGGCTAACGCATTCTGTTTAAAAACAAGTTTAAATTATTCCATCTAAGATACCAACCTCTCCTCTATATTCATCAGTTTAACTTTTGTGTGTTTACTTACTAGTCAAAGTGAAACATAAAATGCAAAAAAAAAAATTACATACCACACAACGAAGTTGGTAGCAAGATGTGAGTATTAGCCAAATGAATTAGTGGTGAAATAAAAATAAAAATATGCGCTGACTCGCAAGGATCTAGACCAACAGTCCCCAATTATTACATTCCTCAACTTACAATGTATAAATAAGCCTCTCTTGGATTTCTATATTATTACTCATCAATTTTACAATATTCCGAATACTGTAAACATGTTTTAGCAACTGAGTATTGATGTTATGTTACTAGAAGTACTTCGCATACGATGATGTAATGGACTCATCGTGCAATATCGTGCTACACAACTCAAAGCGATTTAACAATCACACAGCAATCTCAGACATAGATCAAATGGAAATAGGAACCATAGGCCAAAGAAAGTGAAATTAAAAAGTCTCAGATAGATAGATTTGGCTCAAGAAAAGCATGGTTTTTTTTTTTTTTTGAAGGAAACAGAAATTGAAATTACTGTCTACTTTTTTCACGTCTTTAACAACCTTTGCGCAAAAACCCAAAACGAACAAAATGGCATATTAATCTACGAAAAACAAACAGAAGAAGGCATCCAAAACTCAACTATCCTTTAACCCTGAGCTCAATCAAGTTCCACGTCTCGCCAAAAGGAGAAGCAAAGTATAACCGGCAAGAAGATTCTCTTGAAGCCATTGTCTTCAGTAAAAGAACCCAAGAACCTTGCCACCAACATTCTTTCTCCTCGCTTCTTCATGGTCCATAATACCAGCCGAGGTTGTAAGAACGATGTAACCAAACTACAAAACAATTAAAAATTTCAGTGTCAATGAATCTACAAGATTGTATCTCTATAGGACAACAAAAGCATAACCAAGCAAAAACCGATTCCAGCAAATGTATAAGTTTTGTAAACCAAATCATATTGAGAAGGAAACATAGAGAAACAAGAGTAAAGACTGACCTGTCTGGAAGGAAGAAGACGAGCGGTCCAACCTTCAATCTCCTTAACTCCGACATCAAAACGAGGACTGATGACTCCACATTTGTTTAGTCTTCCATTGAGCTCAACCACGATCTTACCAGACCTGTGGTCATCGACGTACTCGAACTCACCGATGTAACCTGCAGTTTCATTTTCAAAAACTTACATTTGAGCAAGAACAGAACAAACACGAAAAAAGTGAAATGAATAAAGCCTGACAATGAAGATCAAACATACCGTGTTTCTGCATGACCATAAGAAACTTGATGATCACTTTAGAAGAAGGCCTGATCATGACCTGCCTCTTTCCTCTCTTCTCCGCATTGTACATACTCTTGAGAGCATCGTTCAGCACACTGATTCTCACCATTCTTCAAAGCTTGAAAACTGAAAGACAAAATCAAAACAAACAATCTGAGCTTATTCAACAAGAAAGCAAGTAAACACATGAGTGAAGCCTTCAAACCAAATTCAATCCAATTAAACAGAAAAAGAAAATAAGCATTTCTGCTCCAATGCACATATATAGTGGAATCTCAATCAAGAATCAACATAAGATCTGATGTAACAAAATACGCAACGACAATCGACGTGAACATATAACTAAAACCAAATTTCAAAAGATCCAATCGCATTTTGATCTAACAATAACAGTATGCTATCGTCAACCAAGAAATCGAGCTCAAATTCCCAAACTAACAGAACCTTACGAGGGTATTGAACGCGAATTCAAGGTCGTTTTCGAGCAGATCAGAGAGAGACAAACAGGAATATAGTAGGAATGTTTTGGAGATTTATCTAACCTTGAATAGAAGTGGCAGCCGCTCAAATCTCTCCTGCTAAAGCCAAAGAAACAAAGTTGAACAAGAGAACTAAATACCTAGACGCTAAATTAGGGTTTTTGCTTTTATTGAGGCGCCTTTGTGGCCTTTTTAGACCTGTTAAATGGATCCGCAATTTTATTAAGCGGGCCTATAATATCATAGTTGGGTTTAATTGGGCCTTTCAAGAAACCTCGTCTACATCGTTACATTTAGTAATCACAAACGGTAAAGATTGAGTTCTGATGTGTGTCCGAACTACTTGGGTCCTTGTGTCCTTGTGTCCTTGTGTTGTTCATTTAGAACGTCTTGTGAAGGATACGCAAACACAGAGACTAAATGGTTTCAGCTGTATCATTTCTGAGTCTTGAGGAAGATGCACAAAAGGCGTTGAGAGCTTTGAATGGGAAGGTGACGATTACAATTCTTCACTCAATCTTCAAATGTAGTACTCGTTCTTGGCTTTGCTTTTGATGTGAAATTGAACTAATCTGGAGTTTTAGTGTTGGTGTAATCCTAATCCTTTCCGGGAGATTAAGGTTTTGTATAATGGAATTGAGCTCCTTCATAAATTGGACTGAGTTTTGAAATCGGTTATTTGTTTTCAGAAGCTCCAACAGCAAATATGAGCAGTAACAAAGTTTGAAGAGTAAACCCCACACATTGCGATTAACAAAACGACTTATTAATCCTCTAGCAAAATCATTCTAGAGCTATTACACTGTTACAATTCTAAAGAGTTGAGTTCAGAAATCGCGATTTCACTTCTGGTTCTGATGTAAACCTCCTTTAGGTTGAGCATATTCGACTCTGATGTTTCTGCCTTCGAGTAACTGAACACAAAGATAGACAAAAAATCAAGCCATCAAGAACATTTGTATAAGAACAAGCCAAGCTTTTACTATGAACGTCTTCTGTGTACAAACCTGATTGTTCATGGAAGCTAAGGCACTTGCAGCAGCTTCCTCTGAGTCAAATACCACAAAGCCATACCCTTTTGATTTCCCGCTCATGTGATCGCATATCACTCTCACTGAACTCACATTCAACCATAAAAATCAAAACTCAGTAATTGCATCTCGCAAGAGACTAGCAGTAATAGGTTTCATGGCGATCTTACCATGTAAAACTTGACCGTACTTTTCAAACTCATTCTTCAATACAGGTTCGTTAGTGTCGTAGCTAAGCCCTGCAGTTGTATTTACACATTCAGTAGTTCCTTTCACGCATTTTATCGAACAGGTGGAGTGCAGTTTTCACTAAAGATAGGAACAAAGGACTCATTCTTCTGTTCTACGGCCATAGAGATTATCTAAACCAATCAGTCATATGATAATACACTCACACATACATAAAATGCGATTTTGTAAGCAAATCAACGGACATCAATCACGAAGAGAATTAAGTTGACCATTGACTGATATGTACCTCCCACGAATAATTTTGATGAACAGTAACCTCGAGTTAATAGATATCGTAATGGAGTTACTAAATACAAACGACGAACAGATTGAGAAAGGAACATTTGAGAAGATTTTGGAGGGGATTGAAAAATTATCCCCAGCGTATGGTAATTTAAATGTGACTCGCCGAAACAAATTAAATAGTTTATTTTTAGATGCGTTTGGTTTAAGTGAGAATTACTTAGAAAACAAGGATTTTATAGATTGTTACTTGGAAAGTTTGGATCTGAAGAGAAATCAAATCCAGAGTACATAATCAAAAGCTAGAATTTCTACATTATACATTCAACAAGCTCTCAGCACAAGATACCCAAACGCATAGCTAAAACCGGTGAATGAAAAAGTAAATCAGAGATGATTAAGCCTTCTTCGGAGATTTGGCTGGTGACTTGGATGCAACCTCGTCGGCGGATTTAGCAGACTTCTTAGGTAGAAGAACAGAGTTAATGTTGGGCAACACACCACCGTGAGCGATTGTGACGCCGCTGAGAAGTTTCCCCAATTCCTCATCGTTCCTGATCGCGAGAAGAAGATGCCTCGGAATGATCCTCGATTTCTTGTTGTCTCTCGCGGCGTTACCAGCAAGCTCCAGAACCTGTAAATCAAAAACCATTGAATCAGAAAAATGGTTTTCGCTACTAACATATATCAGATCTTAAGGAACAGAGAAATCGAGAGAAAAACTTACTTCGGCGGCGAGGTACTCGAGAACGGCGGCCATGTAAACCGGAGCTCCACCACCGAGCCTCTGGGCGTATCGTCCTTTCTTCAGGAAACGAGTGATTCTCCCCACCGGGAATTGGAGACCGGCTTTGATCGACTTCGAAACTGATTTGTTCTTTGGGCCACCGCCCTTTCTTCCTCCGAAACCTTTCTTCACTTTTCCGGTGGATTCCATTATCACAATTTCGATTGAAACGGGTAAGATTCTGATGAGAAAACTTTGTTGTTAAATGGGGGAGGTATGAGAGATTTGTGTGTTGTTGAGGTTCCCGGTTCTCGGTGTGATTTATAGGTGATCGGGACAATAATAACAAGGGCGAAGATTTGTGGCCGTTGGATTTAATTTTATCGACGGTAGAGAATATATGAGATGCGATCCTCGTGTTTACGAATTAGCCAATCAGAATATGTTTTTCGATACGGGGCGCCAGTTTTTTCTGTTTGGTTGTGGGGTTTACTTTGATCCATTTTTTTTAATGGAACTGCAGTTGGAAAATAAAAAGATATAGGCCACAAAACCCAGAACACAACAAGCCCAGTTTACATAAGCTCAGTTATACTAAAAATCAACGAACCTGAGGGGAAAAAAAGGTATTGTAACCGTTTTTAACAAGTTTGAGTAGTTTTAGAAAAAAGTAAAAGCTTGATTGGTAAAACTATTAATTTTAAAAACTGTAATTAAGATTTGTGTGTGTTTTCAGGTTCCCGGTTCTCGGTTTGATTGATAGGTGAGCGGGACGAAAAAAAGAGAGATGATTCGTAGCCGTTAGATTTAATCTTATCGACGGTAGAGGATATATGAGATGCGATCCTCGTGTCTGCTAATTAGCCAATCAGAAACGTTTTCATCTTATGGAAAATAATAAGTTATAGCCACTAAACCCAGCCCATATGGGTTTTGTTGGAGACACGCCGATACTAGTGTGTGTTTGGCGGCAACTTTTTTTCCTTTTCCGGTGGTTTTCTTTCAATGGGTATCAAAGGTCATCGGAAAAAGCTAGCCAAGGTTGGGAAATTCCCGAAGAAGCGCACTCGGGTAAGAATTTAGGGTTTTGGTTTCTAACACTTTCATTTATTTCTATTCTGTTTCTAACAATTTCGTTTATTTCTTAGGAGTTTTTTGAAAGATGAAGTTGAAAAGTTAATGAAGAGGACCAAGAAATCTGATGCGGAAGTGGATGATGGAGTCGAAGAAATGACGCAATCATTCAAGATAATCTCAGATCTCATCTCGATATTACAACAACATCAAAAAATCACCGGACTGAAGGTATTGTTGCTATCTCTTAATATTATTATCTCTTCAAGAGAAAGATCCGGTATCAAAGACGTTAGATCGTGATGCACTGTGAGAAAAATTAGGGATTTTTTTTCTTAATTGAAAATAAATAAATGGATATCACTTTTTTATGTTCTCAGTGTGTGTATAGCTGGAGAACGATTAGATCCGACATAATCGACAAACCTCGTAAGCAGAAGAAAAGTATGAACAATTTTAGCTTGATAGTTTCTCTGATATTTACTTGTTATTTTATCTGATATGCGAAACGCTAAATATGTACGTACGCATTGGTTTTTGACAGATGATTGCTGGACTTATGGTCTCTCCAGAGGCCAATCTTCATTGGTTAAGCTGAAGAGATCCTCTACGAAACGCTTAAGAGTAAAAACGCTCAAGAATGGAGTACACTCTCGAGACATCCATCACGATGGGTCTCTACTTGGGTTTGGTCACCTTACCGAGTTCATGAAGGAATCTCATTATGTCAAGGAAATAATCATTCACCGGAGGTACAAAACTGATCATCCTAACAAATCATATGATGATTTTGAGGATCTCTTGAAGGAGCTTTTGGCTAAAGGACCAGTGGCAGTTGCTTTTGAGTGTCTCCCCAGTTACGATAAATTCAGTGGTCGCGTAAGTTGTTTGAACTTATTTTGATTATAAATCAGTTTAATATTTAGTAAGTATTGAAATTATACGTTGGTTCAAAGTTATTTAATTTATTTTCAGGGAGTGTACTATCCTACTGAGCTTGTTTATCAAGTCAAGAGGTTCGAAAAATTCACAATTCATGTTGGCCTTGCAACAGGACATGGTGTAGAGGTCACTGAAGGTGGTGAGATAATCGAGTTCCTTGAGTTTCAAGATTCGCGTGGGAAAAAGAGGGGAGATATGGGTTTCATCAGGTTGGCTCTTCACAAGAGACTTTTCAAACACATTTTCGAGCTGAAGGTATTATTTGCTTTAAAATAATAAAAAATTTTGATTTTTGGTTACTTAAATTTAGATATTTATGTAGTTTGTGTGGTTGTGTGTTTAGGTTTGAGGCGTGCAGCGAAGATTTGTCAAGTTAACTTCTTGAGTTCTCTTTTTTTGTTTGATCTACCTAAATGTTAACTATTGGATGATGATGTTTAGGCTCTTTTTGGCTGTTGGTTATGGTTGTTTTTGTAGAGGCGTTGACTTTGTTAGTATAGCCAAAACAATTCGATACAAATCGGTAAACAAATATTAATATAACCGAAACAAAAGAATGATCTTTTAAATTTTCAGTATAAGGCTTGCGTTAGTTCTTGTTTCTCTTCGTTTTAATTTTTTTTTTTTTGTTTTAATAACTGAGATTCAGGATGTTTGTGTGCGCGTTGTTTGCGTTTGCTATGTTAAATTGTTTGCGTTTGCTATGTGAAATGTAGAAAGCAAAACATAAGAAAACAGCTGAGATTATTTTGGTGAAGAAGATAAGCTTAAAACGTTATTTTTACTACTTAAAAAGACGCTCGTTTACTTTCGCACAGAAAAAAAAAAAACCACAAGGGATGATATTTATACAAAGAGAGGAACAATCCAGAGTGGACAGGTGTCCTGGGTAGCTGTCAATCCGAGAGCTCTCACAGGTGTAGGGAGCCACCCATTCCTCTGCAAATTGCTGTGGACGTACACCTGTAAGAATCGATCTATTTGTTTCCTTCACAGACAAACAAAAAAAAACCACATTTTACAAGATGGAGACAAAGATTGGGGCTGTAAGAAAATCCTTTTTTTTTTTTAAGGTGGGATACGTAACGACAAGTTAAGTAGTTGAGTGAATAACAAAAAAACACTCTGAAAGCAACAACGTTGCCACCAAGACGATCCTCCAAAGAGAACCAGAAAACCCCAATTTCGAGCCAAGAGACATGAACTCCAAGCAGAAACTAAACCGACAGCACCGCCAGCTTGAAGGAAGGACTAGCCCGAGATCAACAAGCACAAAATCAGCAGAAGGAAATGCCATAACACCACAAAACAAAGAGGCAACGCCATCTCCAAACCACCAAAGAAACCAAAGCACTCGTTCAAGACCTAGGCTCTAAGCAAAAAAAGCCGGGGACCTACGAAAAACAAATAAATTATGGACCAAATATGGTAGCATATATAGAATACACATTACCTGAATGTCGCAAAATTGATCATGAATTTAAGTTGAAGTAATGTAAGTGAATCTATACAATGATGACAAAAAATTTGTGTAAGACTAAAGGAAAAGCTATCGACATAGCTTATCTCACCAACGTCCGCAAAGGTTTTACTTTAGCTTACTTCTCTGGCTTGAAATCAAAATGCAATATGTGTTAACAAATGACAAAAGGACAGTAGACCATATGGAAATGCATTACACTAGAAATATATAATTCACGAAACAAAAACCTGCCGGAATGAATAGCATAAACATTGAGATTGGGATATAAGTAGAGATAACCCCAAGACTATATTGGAAGCGGGCCTATATATATTTGCAGAAAGAAATGATCTCATATATGACATATTTTCTTTTTATTTGAATTGGGAAGGATTGAATATACGACACGAGAGGATGTTTGTATCTACCTAAGATTTGGAGTTTTGCCAAAAACGGTGTTGATAAAATTGTTCATGATCCCATATATGCCATTTTTTAGATATCATGATTGTGTTGTTTTTGACATTCTTCGCTCTCTCACTAATGCCTTTTTGCGTGATCTTGTTCTCCACCTTTGGCCACTTCCGAACATGTGCTTTGTCGTCTATCTTTTTCTATGATTGATTGATTTCCACGGATTAGATAGGCAAACAGTATGATGTATGCAGTAACAAAAATCAACGGATCTATGATACTATTAAGTTTGGTTTCGCATCATCGTGCTTTACTCATTATCTTCTTCTTCACACCTCTGCAATTATCTTCTTCCAAGGACAATTTTTCTTTTTAATATCTTCTACGCCAATTTTTTCCGAGCAGTAGCAGCAGGAAGAGTCGCACAAATCTGTGAAACAATGGGAAATGGCAATTAAAAGCCAACCAGAGGAAGATGGAGAGTTATGAAGAGACGAAAGGTTTCGTGGAAAAACGTTTAGGTGCACCATGAAAACTTCATGTGATGGTGGCAAGTGACATACTTTGATTGGCTTTTTTTTTTTTTTCTTTCTTTTTGGTCTAAATGTTTTTATTGCGAATATGGAAAAATATCATTGTTTACAAAAGTTTTAATAAAAGATGGACAAGAATGAAACAAACGCCAATGGTATTCTGAAACGGCTCCTTGTTTGGCAAGAAAATCAGCATAAAAACGAGTGTTTAAACTTAAAAACTTCCGAACCATAATGTTAGAACAATAAATTACCTTTTTTGGTCAATCAATAAATTAACTTGGAACCAGTTTTAAGTTGACATATAACAAAGAAAATAGAAGAAAACTCTGGGCCTGTTTATTTTTTTTTGTTTCCTTTTCTCCTGTATCCCATGTACTAAGCCCATAAATAACTTTGGGATCTTGTTTTTATTATTCATGACCCCCAAAGAAAAAACATTGACCAGTCTACGATTAAATAATCTAGGGTTCGCGATTAAAACAAAAACATTGATTAAAAAAACTTTACGCAGTCGCTCTCTCTCAATTTCTCCATGGGCACAAGGGTTCGTTCTGTGTTTTTGTTCATTGTTCTTCTTCCTTCCTCAGTCTTTAACAACCTTCTCTAATGATGTGGTCTCTTTTGTTTCTCATTTTTAGGTTGAAGATGCACATGATGTTGATACGACCACGGAAGGTAGAAAATTGGATTTTATTTGGGTTGGCTTTTTTTTTATGTCGAAGAAACGGATTGGTATCGGAATTTGAAGGCTTTTATAACCCAGGGGAAGTTGCAATGTCAAA